GTTAACGGTTAGCGTTAGCGGATTTGATCAGCGAATTTATTTAATTATTAACATTGGGTAGAAAAAATGACCGCCAAATTATTAAATCAAATGAACGGTTCATATTGTTCAGGTTTTAATTTTTTTCTTTTAAGATTTTCTAATTTATCCTTAATTATATAATTATCCATTTAACTTTTCCGTTAATTCACCGTTAGTCTAATTCTAATATTAAAGTCTAATATAGAATTATAACTACACCATTAATCTAATTCTAATAACTACACCATTAATCTAATTCTAATATTAAAGTCTTAATAGAACTTAACCACAAATCCTAATGTCGGAATCTCCTCAAACAATATTAGTATATATATATATTTAATATTTTATGCCCTAATTTTTATTTGTTCTCCCTTATGTCCCGTATTTGGTTTCAACTATACCTATACAATTATTTTATTGACAATTATAATCAATCTTGACTATATTATCTTGCATTTGTAAACTTAGAATTACCTATTTAACTCGCACGGGCTTAGCTCAATAGTTTAGTGGGTAGTATTTGGGAGAAGAGACCAAGGTTTGAACCTCGGCGGCGGCAGTGCGGGAATTATGTCCAAAGTGGGCAGATTCCTTGTGCGTATCAGCATTTGGCCCTGTCTGCTGAACCATTGAGTCACCGTGATTTACAACTTCCCACAATGCTCTGTCGGGTCGGAGTGTGGGGGGCCCTTGGGGTTGGGGACTAAACCTTTGGGAGAATAATTACCTCCGTGATTTACAACTTCCCACAATGCTCTGTCGGGTCGGAGTGTGGGGGGCCCTTGGGGTTGGGGACTAAACCTTTGGGAGAATAATTACCTATTTAAATACGCAAATTCAACCTTCAATTATCTATGCATGAACAATTTCAATATAATCCTGCCTTAATATACTTTAAAGTACTTATTTAACAAAAAACCATTGGGCATTATCCTAATCGCGCAATGCGTGTAAAAAACTAGTTATTTGTATAAAAGATTACTTGTTCGGCAAATTATGCTGTGCATCCGTATACACCATGTATGGTGCATACGGATGCAAAAACGACGTCGTTTTAATAAAACGCGCATCTCCCCTTAAAAAAAAAATCAGGTTCGATTCTGTTAGATATATTAAATATAATATATTTAATATAATATATATTAAATATAATATAATATATCTATAATATATATTAAATATAATATGTATATATATTATATTTATATATATTGAAGAGAGAGAGAGGAATAGAAGTAAATGTTTATTACTTCACTTGATGATTATGAATAAACAAAAGCCACATATTTATAGTGAAAGAGAAAAGCAACAATGCTAAAGTTTAGGAAGTAATTAGAGGCCATGATTCCATGTACTTCATTTCACGTAGTGCTATGCATGCATCCACGTTCGCACACCTCCTTTTATTTTTTAACAAATTAACTGCTAACTACTTGGTTTAATATATTACTAATAATAATAATAGCATTATTATTATTATAACATTGCCTCCTTTAAACCAAGTTGGATATATTGGTCATCCCAATTTCCTTCTTCAATTTAAGAAATGTCTTCGTCTTCAAGTTGGATATACTGACTTGTATTTCGTTCTGTAAACACACTTCACTCCAATTGGCTTCTTTCCAGGAGGTAAATCTGTTAACTCCCAGGTACCATTCTTCTCAATGGCACGTATCTCCTCATCCATCGCCTTAAGCCAATGAGTTTCTGTAGCAGCCTCCTCAAAAGTTAAAGGATAACAATCTGCAAAGAGAGCAAATTGAACAATCTCTTCATCAGACAGGTCATTATCATGACCCAAAACATAATCTTGCAAGCGAGCTGGTAAGTGGCGCTCGCGCTGAGATCGCCGAACTGACGATTCTGGCTGTGAGGGAGACTGGACATTATCTGGAATCGGTTGCTCATCAACAATATTTTCAACAACAGGAATAACAACTGGACTTTCATCTTTAGCTAACCAATCCCAGGCACCATATTCATCAAAAGTGACATCACGACTTATAACAACCTTCTTAGTTTCAGGATTGTATAGTTTATAAGCCTTTGAAGCGTCACTATAACCAATGAATATGCACTTCTCACCTTTATCATCCAACTTCTTTCTCAATGGATCCGGCACGTGGGCATATGCCAAACGTCCAAAAATCTTGAGATATTTGATAGAGGGTTTTCTCCCACTCCAAGCTTCTTCGGGTGTCTTATCACGGACACTTTTAGTTGGACACCTATTCAACACATAGACAGCACAAGCAACAGCTTCTGCCCTAAAAGGTTTAGGCAGATCCTTGGATTTCAACATGCACCTCACCATATCCATGATTGACCTATTCTTCCTCTCAGCCACTCCGTTTTGTTGTGGAGTGTATCTAGCTGTCATTTGGTGCTGAATACCCTTTTCTTTCATAAAATTATCACAAGCAATATATTCTGTACCTCTATCAGTTCTCAAGATTTTTACTTCATAACCACTTTGCTTTTCAACAAAAGCCTTAAATTGTTTAAAAACATCACATGCTTCAGACTTTTGCTTCAGAAAGTAAACCCATGTTTTTCTACTGAAATCATCAATGAAAGTAATAAAGTACTTACGACCTCCATGTGAGGGAACCTCCAACGAACATAGGTCTGAGTGAATAATCTCCAACTGTTTTGTAGCTCTCCTTGACTTGCCCACGGGAAAGGGATCTCTATGCTTCTTCCCAATCACACAAATCTCACAGATACGATCAGGGACATTCACAGCAGGTAAATCAGAAACAAGTTCATTTCTCGCAAGATAGTTTAATCCAGAGAAATGGAAATGCCCAAACTGCATATGTCATAACCAATTATCATCACAAACTTCAGAATTAAAGCAATCAAGGAGAGTATGCTTAATTTTCAAAGGAAATAGTCGATTTTGGGACATATTTACCTTTGCAATCAAAACTCCTTTAGCATCTTCAATGGTACAACACCCCTGAGCAATATGTATCTTATATCCTTTTTCTGACAGCTGACCCATACTCAACAAATTTTGGTCCAGTTCAGGAACATAGAACACATCGGATATAAAATTTTGAGTACCATCCTTCAACTGAATAGAGATTTTACCTTTTCCCAAAATTGGCACCTTTGACTTATTGCCAAATGTCACTTCAGACCGGATTGATTCATCCAGTTCAGAAAACAATTCTTTCTTACCACACATATGGTTACTACACCCAGTATCCAAGAACCATATGTTTTTATCTGCAGAAAAACTATCACTGGCCAAAAGTAAGGTTTCAGAATTCTCACCAGACTTTTCAGCGGTATTTTCAGCAATGTTTGCTTGATTTCCACGATTGTTGTCCTCATTATACCAACAATCTGCAATCTTGTGCCCATACTTGCCACAATTGTAGCAATGAAATGGAAATTTACCTTGTTTGGTATTACCTCCACCTCTTCCTTGGTTGGAGTTACCACGTCCTCCTCCTTGGTTGAAGTTACCACGACCTCTTCCACTAGAACCTCCCCTTCCTCTTCCACGACCTCTACCAGATCCTCCACCTCTTTGATTAGTGCCAGTCACATTAAGGGTGACTTGGCTCTTCAAAGCTTCTTCTGCTAGTGGTTCCGATTTTGACGCAATCCTGTCAATATGACTTTCTACCATACCTTTCAGCTCTGCAATTGATAAGAGCTCGGTTTTGTGTGACTCTGTTATTGAAGCCACCACATGGTCATACTTCATCGGCATAGTTCGAAGAACTTTTTCAACCACTGCACCATCTTCAATCGTATATCCATATAGCCTCATCTTATTCACCATATCAATAAGACGAGTGAAATACGCATCTACTGTTTCTGTAGAGGTCATCTCACAATTATCGTACAACCTTCTCAACGACTGCAACTTAGACTTCTGTGCCCGATCGACTCCTTTGTGTGACACCTTTAAGATGTCCCAAGCTTGTTTTGCTGTTTGAGCACGAGCTAATGTCCCAAAAATGGAATAATGAACACCTTGGTGAATCTGACCCAAGGCCAATTTATCTCGCCGTATAGCGGCTGCATCAGCTCCTTCGGGTAGACCGGGATCAACAAAGCTCCAAAGATTTTGAGCTTGCAAATGTGTGGACATCATAATTTGCCAATAATTGTAATCGAGTTTCCCGTCCAATTTGGGACCCGTCCATACAATATTGAAATTTGCAGCCATATTTCACTATGGGAAATATCTCGGGGTTGAAAGGTTGACTGGCTCTGATACCAAATGTTAGATATATTAAATATAATATATTTAATATAATATATATTAAATATAATATAATATATCTATAATATATATTAAATATAATATGTATATATATTATATTTATATATATTGAAGAGAGAGAGAGGAATAGAAGTAAATGTTTATTACTTCACTTGATGATTATGAATAAACAAAAGCCACATATTTATAGTGAAAGAGAAAAGCAACAATGCTAAAGTTTAGGAAGTAATTAGAGGCCATGATTCCATGTACTTCATTTCACGTAGTGCTATGCATGCATCCACGTTCACACACCTCCTTTTATTTTTTAACAAATTAACTGCTAACTACTTGGTTTAATATATTACTAATAATAATAATAGCATTATTATTATTATAACAGATTCCCAGCAACAACATATGAACTAAAATTCCATAATCGATGAACTATAATTCCATAATCTAATCTATGAACTAAAAATTCCAGAATGAATGAACTAAAATTCCATAATCTATAAACTAAAATTTCAGCATCGATGAACTACAATTCCATAATCGATGAACTATAATTCCATAATCAATGAACTATAATTCCATAATCTATAAACTAAAATTCCAGAATAAATAAACAATATAATGTTGTTGCTGAGAATCGAACCTGAATTTTTTTTAAAGGGGAAACGCGCGTTTTTTAATAAAACGACGTCGTTTTGGCATCCGTATGCACCATGCATGGTGCATACGGATGCACAGCATAACTATCCTACTTGTTCTCCTTTACATATAGATTTAGTCCAATAGTTATGCTATGGATTAGGGTCTACTTTCAAGGTGGATCCGAATTATATTTACAATTTTTGAATTCTATATTCACAATTTTTGAATTTTATATTCACATTTTTAAAACTGAATATTCACAACCAATGATTTTTTTTTATTTTTAAAAAAACTATTGAAATCAACTCAGTGAGTAAAGTAATTGTGAATATAGAGTTATGAAATTATGAATTTTGGGTTATGTAATTTTGTGTATTGAGATCTAAAATTGTGAATATTCAGTTCTAATATTGTGAATATAGAGTTTAAAAATTGTGAATATAACACGAGTCCACCTTACAAGATGGACACAAGTCCACATCATAATTTGCCGATTTAGTCATAAACTTCATTCCAAATATAACACTTTAAATTAAGATAATTAAATAATGGATTTAACACACATGGCCCTGTTTTGGTAACATAATTAACTTATCATTCAATTTTGGCTTATTTGACCACTATTAACCATTTGATTTAATAGGTTAAATAACCAATATAAGTGTTTGATTAATTAGTTTTTCGTAACAGTGCACTTATTGCTCCAAAATACTAAGGAGGTCTTTCGTAAATAGATGTTAGCTATTAGCTGATTGAGTTAGCGGGTTTGATTAGTTGATAGCATTAGCTAATTGTAGAAAGATGTTTGGTAAATTAGTTGTTAGTTGATAGCTGATTACATGTAAAATGATTTTCTCAAAAAGCTTATCGAAAAAACTACTTTGAGTAGTTTTTAATTTTAGCATTTTGGAACAATAAGCTGTTACAAAAAGCTAATTAATCAAACACTTATTGAATGTTTGGCCAAGTCAAAAAGCTAATAGTGGTCAAATAAGCCAAAATTGGCTGATAAGCTAACTATATTACCCTTTCAAAAAAATATATATATATTACCAAATAGCTAGGGCCTAACATTATATTCAAAAAGCTGCTCAAAACAGTTTTTTTGATCAATTTTTTTTGAGAAAATCATTTTGTTATGCAATCACCTATCAGCGTTAGCTAATTTACCAAACATCTTTCTACCAAACACCCTCTTAAATATATATAATTAGATTGCTCTCAATTGAGCTCATCACATAGATTTTTTTAGTACAGTTTATCTCTACTATATGATTTACAGACTATTACATATAAGTATAGTTTACCCGTATACACATCTTTAGTAGTAGCGAGTTCCCATGTCACCCAAAAATTTGATAATTAAAAAAAGAGAGAGAGAGAGAGAGAAAAGAAGCTAGGATAGTATTTTACTATCCATTAATTATTGAGTAACTCTATTGAAATAAATGGTGTACGTGCTATTTAAGATTCATAATTATAAGTTTACTCAATTAAATAGCGCGTGGGAATTAAAGAACAGAAGCCGTAAGAGTTAGGTAAACGGTGGATTTGAATTCTCCATTATTATATTATGATATGATATGATTATGATATTATCCCATGCATGCAGGTTAACATGCCGGCTTTGAAATTTCAACGGATATCCAAGTTGATAACTTCAATATACCCAGGAAAGCAATGGATACATTGCTGGGATTTTGTGATAAAGATGAAGCAATGGCTACATTGCTGGTTACAATAATAACCGTAGTCCAATAATTGGATGTGGCAATTCACATGGTATGCAAGAAAAGAAGCTAATAAGTTGCATATGAGTAACTATAGCCAAATTAGTTAGACTAATGATTTGAATAATTACAAAGTTTTAAGTTTTACTCTTTGTGAAAGTGATTTATTGGCCTTCTAGTTCACAAGGCAAATACACACTTTCAACTAATGACTACATGCATGTTTTTCTCGTGATTCAAAAACTATTGAATTTGCATTATGCTTACATTTCCGTTGTTATCACCCATCATGTGACTGCTATAAGTAGGTGAACATTAATCATTTAACCACATCCCTCAATAGTAAGCTACAACGCCACGTCTCGAATCGAGCGGGTGTTGAACTCAGCAAATTCGACTAACGCCCAACCATCCTCCTCCCTGTCACGATCTAGTTGACACGTCTCGAATCGAGCAAAGGCTGAACTCAGCCAAACCGGTCAATCCCCAACACCTACCGAAACCTAATTCTACGTCCAAACATGGGCTGAATTCGGCCAACTCAGCCTAGGCTGAACAAAAACAAGTACCATATTGTGAATGGGGTTTTATGTTTATGTTTAAAGGAGGAAAGAAAAAGGAAATGGAAGGGAATCATAGTGACTCCAAGAAGAAAAAGACAAAAAGAAGGATTGTGAGAGACTAGAGAGTGTCCTAAGAAGAGAGGAGAGGAGAGGGAAAGCTTAAGGCAGATGAGAGAGGAAGAGGGTAAGGTACACATAGATGTGGAGATTGTCGAGCTATTATTGGCAAAGGGCAAATCCCATGTCTGAAAACGCAGCATCACGGCATCCGGCACACAAGACCAGCGTGTGTACTTTGAAA